TAAACAGTCCAATAACTCCAGTTGTACTTATCTTGTCCTTTAGATGTTTATCCCAACACAATTTTACACAACAGCACAGCGGTCACAAACTGTTTGCCTTCTTCCGATTAACAACACCTGATGCTGATTACGTGCGTCTACCTTAAATACCTTCACCATACCAAAAACTCAAAACATGACCTCTAGTGGCGTACATAAGGTATCAACCGAAAAATGGCTCCTACACCCCTTATAATCAAAAATCTAGAATCCACAGTGTAGTCTTAGTGTAGTCAACCTTTTCCTCACCAAAAGCCTGTTCACAGGCTACTGTGTTTCCTGTCACAAGGATAACATCATCCCAACGTTCACCACTGCTGGTGATAAAGCAGCCTACAGGATGAGGAGACAGGCACCAGGCACTGTTCATTCAGGAGACTGAAGAGCATCAGTGAGAACCTCACTTGGATATTTAACAGCTCGTTGGGAGGACTCAACAGCAGCTATACTTTCTGAGGAGGCTGAGGAAGTTTGGTATCTTGCCTATGATCCTCAGCAACTCTTTCAGCTGTGTGGTTGACAGCATGTTGACACACTAATGTTGGCAACACTAATGCTATGGACTCCAAAGACCTGCAGAAAGTGGTGAAGACTGCTGAAAAGATTATCAGGACTCCACTGCCCTCTCTGCTGAGCATCTACAGAATCCACAGGATACCTACTCTCCTCCTCAAAGACCCCATCAGCCTCTAAAACAGGGCGTTCGTACGTCTACCCTCAGGTAGAGATACAGAAGTGTGAAATCTAGGACCTGTAGGCTAAGTAAGTCTTTCTTCCCCGCTGCCATTAGACTCCTAAACACCTGACACGCTTTTAATACACTTTTACACACTCACTGCTTTCTGCACATACATCTGATGTAGCATTCAATTTGTCCATCCATTCCCTTCCACTTATCCTTATCAGGGTCGCAGGGAGCTGGAGCCTATCTCAGCTACCATAGGGCAAAGGGCAGCGTACCCCCTGGACAGGCTGCCAGCCTGATGCTGGGCTAGCACAGAGAGAGATCAGCATATAACCCCACTAACTGCATGTCTCTGCACTGTAGGAAGACGGAGAACTCACACAACTACAGGGATATATTTATAATACATATATTTATATATTTATTTTGTGCTTGCAAACATAAACACAATCCAATAAGTGATCCCCTTTCTTTTATTCTTTTTTTAATCCTTATCAAATCTTTGTCAAATATGTTTATCTTATATTTTTTATAAATTAAAATCAAACAATTCTTTTTAACCAGTTACATTGTCTTGAGTTTCTATTCCAGTGCTTTGATCAGTGTCAGACTCCAGGCCCAGTGACATGATTCCTCCCTCTCTGTCTGGCCACTCAGTCAACATCTTCTTGCTTTTTAATCCCTGCTCCGCCTTCCTTAATCTTATCTGTGATGGATTAGCAGTGCACAGGCCAACACCATGTGCCTTTACTATCATCACCTTGATAAACAGCACTTTATCAAGGTGAAATACATTGTTAACATCAATTAATATTTCTCCCTCTTCCATTAGTATCTGGATGGGTTGCAGAGGTCTCTCTGGGTCCACTGACCAATGGTTGGCTGTACTGTCATTTCCCTGTTTGACTTGCACATGGATGAAAGCGGTCTCTGGGACTGCAGGGGTCTGGCAGCTCCCAGTGGACTGGATAGCTGAGTTTGCTGCTTTGGAGTGTCTAGGGTACTACCTAGTGTTCTTGGGATGTGGGACCTGGGGTGCTTGTGGTGGGGGCTCCTGGCCCCCAGCTGGGTGGCTGGCCTCTTCTGGGTGAGTCTGGGTGCGGGGCCCGGGGACTTGGTGCTCAGGGTTGCCTGGTCTCTGGCTGGGTCCCTCCTAGCACGGGGTTGGCTGCCTCGCCCTGTAGGGTGGGTTGGCCCATGTTGGGATGTTTGGTCTGGGCCTTGGGGGCTCATGGATGCCCGCATGCCCGTTGGATGTGGTGGGATGTCTGGGTGAGGGAGCAACAGTTGGGTGCAGCTTTTCCCAGACCCAGACCAGTGTGTCTTGTCCCTTTGCTGTGTGTGTCTGTTGTAATTGAGTGGACAACTGGTTCTGCACAGTCCATGCTACTCTGTGGTGGGGGCAATGGGTGCTACCCTTCACTCAACGGTGCTCTGGGACATTGTTGATGTTGCTGCTATTGATGCTATGGTCTGTGCTAAAGATCTTGCTGTTGCTGCCCTCCTGCTTTCCATGTATGCAGGTCCCAGAGCAGAGTTACTGTAAATGGAAATATCAATCCTACTTTTGGACACTGGTCTAGAAAACCATCCTATTGGTTTCCTACAGCCGCTGTGGCAGGGTGTAGGAAATGGGGGTGCATACCGTATTCCATATATAATGTAATGACTGAAATAACATGAATAGAAATGAAGAAATAAGCAGAAAAACCCTGAACAAGAAGAGCCTGTAGAGAATAAATAGAACTGATCTCGGAAAGGCAGATCATAATTCTGTTTGCAAAAGCTGCCAGAGAAGACAGAATTCAGAAAAAGGAAATAGCACAACTGAACAGTTTAAACATGTTAAAACGGTATTTCTCAAAACCAACGTGTAAAATGAAAATGTTTATTTTAAACAAAAATCTGTACTTTCTACTCCTTATTTTTTCAAAACAGGCTTGTTGCTTTTTGTTTAATGCAGAGCTATTTTTTCACTGCATGTCTTCAGACATCAAACTCATTTAAGCCCAAACAGATGAAGGGCAGTTTGTGTAGTAATCACCAGGATATGTCACATAAGAAGATACGAAATAGGTAAAACCGTGTGCTATAGTCAGGAGTTAAAGTCCACGTTTTGTTTGTTTGTTTATTTGTTTTGGAGTATTTTTTTTATTTTTTTGCAACACCAGAACGAGCGTCTATAAGTTGCAGTTGCTGTACTTTAGCATCCAGCTAGTGCTACAAAAGAGGCGCGAGAGTGTCCCTCTCTCACCCCAACCAATCGCAGCAGATGGCCCCGCCCCTCCCTGAGCCTGGTTCTGCTGGAGGTTTCTTCCTGTTAAAAGGGAGTTTTTCCTTCCCACTGT